GATCAAAGGACTATGTGCAGTCATATCAATCCACAGAAAGAAGTCCGGTCGATTTACCGTCAGCTGTGAACAACAAACCTGAGTTTTCTTCATCAGAAAACACCACGAGAAGGAAAGAGGTTTAATTCAAATGTAATGATATACCCAATATTTAGTTACAAATTAAATGTAGCTATTTCTGTACGATGCATAGGTGTCATTAAAATACATTTTATGATACTTTTATTAAATGTAATGAATGGACGCAAAGACGAAGTAAAAGTTTTGCTGTGAAGATGAAATATCTAATTCTCAAACTATTTCAGGTTATTTCAATATGTTTACTTGATAGAGATTCATTTGTGTACCTTACCAATTCATTTAGATGTATTTCTAATATACAGAATACGGTGTTGTACTGTTTTGCTAGTTATTTTGGTTAAAACATGTCTATAATCCGACATTTGAATTGAAAAACTGCGAAAAATAACACTTCTAAGCTAAGCCTTCTGAGCTAACACTGCCATATGTGCAATATACACTTTATTCATGTTATAACTGGCTTTAATACTTTTAGATGTTTACTTTTTTTATCATGGATGTGTGTTTAATAGATTTTTATCGAATAACATGTGCTTACCTAAATGAACCCATTGTGGAACATAGTAAGGATTTCTAATTCTGATAGGGCAATTCAATTTTTTTATAATAAGGTGCAATGTAGAATTTGTATATGCTATTTTTTTTTTAAAGAAGCTTTGAGTTTAGTCTATTCTAACGCTCACAGGTGCTTGAGATTTAAAAATATCCCTACTTTAAACGGAGCTCCATATGTCTCCAAAGGTTTCCAATGATTACCCAGCAGCAGCAGCACAAACAAGCACTTAGTGATTGTATCAGGAACAAAAGAGTCGCCCGGTGACACAAACACAGCGAGTCCTTTTGAACCTGAACGCAGCGAAAAGTCCAGCAAAAACATCCGAGCGTCCTCAGAGACCCCGAGAGCACGAGAGGTCGAAAGATTGTGGAGAAGGAGGCGTACGTTATCTTCAGGAGCAGCAAGCTGTTCTGATAAGAGCGGGATAAAGAGAGGCTGCATGGAAAACAATCTGCCTCAAGTATAAACACACACACACACACACACACACACACACACACACACATTGAAAACACTGGAGACCTACTGCTTTGGCCTTGAAGAAGGAAATGAGAAACAGAGCTGTAACTCACACGTTCAAACAACGCTAAGACTTTCCTCTGTGATAAACATGAAGAAAGACTTAATACGCCAATTAAAAAAAGAAAAAAATACACTATATAAAAATGTTTGACTGAAGATCTGTAACATGTAAATCAAACTATAACAGATAAGCAAAGGAGCCATATTCTGCTCATTTCCAGGTTCTTATTAGTATGTAGTGTCTCTACTTTAAAGAGTCCTCTCCTGCTGATGTTCAGGTGTATATCAGTATGTAGTGTCTCTACTTTAAAGAGTCCTCTCCTGCTGATGTTCAGGTGTATATCAGTATGTAGTGTCTCTACTTTAAAGAGTCCTCTCCTGCTGATGTTCAGGTGTATATCAGTATGTAGTGTCTCTACTTTAAAGAGTCCTCTCCTGCTGATGTTCAGGTGTATATCAGTATGTAGTGTCTCTACTTTAAAGAGTCCTCTCCTGCTCATGTTCAGGTGTATATCAGTATGTAGTGTCTCTACTTTAAAGAGTCCTCTCCTGCTGATGTTCAGGTGTATATCAGTATGTAGTGTCTCTACTTTAAAGAGTCCTCTCCTGCTGATGTTCAGGTGTATATCAGTATGTAGCGTCTCTACTTTAAAGAGTCCTCTCCTGCTGATGTTCAGGTGTATATCAGTATGTAGTGTCTCTACTTTAAAGAGTCCTCTCCTGCTGATGTTCAGGTGTATATCAGTATGTAGTGTCTCTACTTTAAAGAGTCCTCTCCTGCTGATGTTCATGTGTATATCAGTATGTAGTGTCTCTACTTTAAAGAGTCCTCTCCTGCTGATGTTCAGGTGTATATCAGTATGTAGTGTCTCTACTTTAAAGAGTCCTCTCCTGCTGATGTTCAGGTGTATATCAGTATGTAGTGTCTGTACTTTAAAGAGTCCTCTCCTGCTGATGTTCAGGTGTATATCAGTATGTAGTGTCTCTACTTTAAAGAGTCCTCTCCTGCTGATGTTCAGGTGTATATCAGTATGTAGTGTCTCTACTTTAAAGAGTCCTCTCCTGCTGATGTTCAGGTGTATATCAGTATGTAGTGTCTTTACTTTAAAGAGTCCTCTCCTGCTGATGTTCAGGTGTATATCAGTATGTAGTGTCTCTACTTTAAAGAGTCCTCTCCTGCTGATGTTCAGGTGTATATCAGTATGTAGTGTCTCTACTTTAAAGAGTCCTCTCCTGCTGATGTTCAGGTGTATATCAGTATGTAGTGTCTCTACTTTAAAGAGTCCTCTCCTGCTCATGTTCAGGTGTATATCAGTATGTAGTGTCTCTACTTTAAAGAGTCCTCTCCTGCTGATGTTCAGGTGTATATCAGTATGTAGTGTCTCTACTTTAAAGAGTCCTCTCCTGCTGATGTTCAGGTGTATATCAGTATGTAGTGTCTCTACTTTAAAGAGTCCTCTCCTGCTCATGTTCAGGTGTATATCAGTATGTAGTGTCTCTACTTTAAAGAGTCCTCTCCTGCTGATGTTCAGGTGTATATCAGTATGTAGTGTCTCTACTTTAAAGAGTCCTCTTAATGGTTCATGCACCAAAACCTATAGGACACACTACAGGAAAGGAAAACCCCCACAAAGCCGAATGCAAACATAAATAGAGAATACATTATATTGTATATTAATCCGAACGATCCTTTAAACAAACCTACACAATGATTGTTTCTAAATCTCATGGACTTATTATCGTGAGGAGATAACTGCGATGCTATCATCCAGGTTGGTGTAGAACTCTATATTAGTGAAATAGAGAATTAGAGCCCACAGCTTGATGCATTAACTCCTAAGATATTCACTAATGAAAATCAGTAGGGATTTCTAGGATGCAGACGGGTACATTTCACGCCAACTTCCAAGTAGAGAAAGCTGCTTTTCAACTTTTCACTAGCAGTGTATTTCTTCACATTTTACTCTGACCACTGAAATCAAAAGTTTGAAGCACTTTTTTTTGTCGAGTTTCTTCACCAGCTTCCCCTTTGCCACAGACTCAGACTCAGAAACAAGTTCATTACCAGGTAGGTTGACGCGTACGAGGAATTTGACTTGATGTTACGGTGCATACATAACCCTAAAAACACAGATAGAGTATATATAACAGTATTTACAGTACATAGAAATGGAATGGAATAAAATAAGTGGCGTCCTGCGGACACACACACACACACACACACACACACACACACACACACACACACACACACACACACACACACACACACACACACACACACACACACACACACACACACACACACACACACACACACACACACACACACACACCACACACACACACACACACACACACACACACACACACACACACACACACACACACACACACACACACACACACACACACACACACACACACACACACACACACACACACACACACACACACACTTATATGATAAACTTCTCAACCCCCAGCTAACTTTACCACCTCAATAAATAAACTGAGGAGAAGTTTCTTTATTTGAAGATTGAATACGACAGGCTTTGAAGTTCCTCGCTGCAGTTTTTCACTCTTGTTGTTCCTAAACTGGGATTCAGGGACGTTCTCTGGGTCTTAAGAGGATTCTTTGACAACATGTGGAAGAGTTTAAGTTAGTTTTCTGTGCTTAAATGCAGAACAACAAGCAGTCAGAATGGTGCCAACTACATTTCTCTTTTTTGCTCAGGAGTAAAGTCAAATGAGATCTAATGGTTTTATTCATTAGCATTTAAGGTGTCTTGACTTTGCTGAAGATGTCTGGACGTGGCTAATCGACTGCATTTGGTTAAGAGTTATCTTTAGTTAGCTAAGGGTGTCTAGATTAAGCAAATAGTCCTTTAACTAGAGTGAGGGTGTTTGGTTTGCTAATGGTGTTTCTGTTCTTTGCTAAAATAGTTTGTGTTTCACTAAAAGGTATCTAGACTTTTAAATATTTAAGGTTTGACCAAGACAATTTGCTAAAGATGTTTCTGGACCTTGCCGAAAGTATCTGGATTATAGATAGGTTGTCTAAAGTTTGTTACGGGTCTTTTCTAAAGATGTCTGTTTTTGACTAAGAGGGTCATGATATGGCTAAAGGTGTCAGGATTAGGGAAACCATTATTGTGACGTTTCAGCGTTTCTGTAAACTTTCTTGAGAATGTCTTGACTTTCCTGAAGATGTCTGGATTTTGCCAAGAGCATTTTGTTCATTGTTTGGTTAAGACTGCCTGGACGTTGCATCTTGATTGTGATTGTTTATTGTTTTCTAAGGGTCCTTTGTCTTTGCTAAAGATGACTAACTGTTTGACTAATTGTGTCAGAAAGCCCTTACTGGGAAGTTATGGCTCGATGTACTTTCCTATGAGTGTCTGGACTCTGGCTAACAAACTGTATGTGGCTAAAGCGTTGGTTTGCTGATGGTGTTAAGTAGATTAAGGGAGTCTGTTGTTTGCTAACAGTGTCTGTGGTCTTTGGTATTAGACTAAGATCACATTGTTTGGCTAAAGATGTTCTGGACCGTCCTAAGAGTGTCTGGACTTTCTGTAGTTTGCTATGGGTGTCTAGATCTTCCTAAGAGTGCTTTAAGGTGGTCTTATGTTGCTAACGCTGTCTTTGTTCGTTGCTAAAGGAATGGATTTTTCTAAAGTTGTCAGGACTTTTAAATTATTTAAAGTTTCTATTTGCCTAAGATCGCCTGGACTTCACTGGGTATCTCGATTACGATTGGTCTGCAAGTTTCCCAACAGGGTCATCATTCCTTTCTCGGAATCAGAATGATTGAACTCGTGCCTCCAACGTGTCCTCCTACCTGTCTTGTGGCGATGATGATGATGGTGGTGGTGTCTGACGTGGTGCTGGTGGGCGGAGATGTGGACGTGTTGGGCGAGGACGTCGGCCAGCCTCCCTCCGGCCGCTCCGCTCCCCCCACTGCGGGTGGAGGAGGAGGAGGAGGAGGCCGTGGAGGAGGTGTTGGTGGAGGAGGTGCCGTGGATGGCTCTGTTTATCCATCGCTCCATGCTGATGCTCCCGTCCCGACTGGACGTTGTTGTTCCTCCAACGCCTCCTCCTCCTCCATCTTTTTCTTCTTCCTCACCGTCACCTCCTTCCTCTTCATCGCCCTGACCCTCACCCTCCGAGCCTGAGGAGGTATCTGAGGGGGGGAGAAGAGAGGAGTTGAAACTTGAAACAAAGCACCACTCAGCTTCCAGAGAACAAACGGACCTCTGCATCTGTTAGGAAAACACTGAATGTCCTCTTCCAATATCAGAGTCCACATGATAACAAAGGTATCCCAACTGTAGCTGTGTACATGACAGGATGTATGATTACCTAGAAGAGCATCAGGACTGTTTGAGGCATATGATAGCTATGTGATTAACATGATGATTCAGCCTCTATGGAGATAGACATATGACAAGCATGATCATTTCTGACGTGGAGCTAATCTGAAGTAAACATTGAATACTGCTTTCTATTCCTCCATCTTGTGACTGTGTAACTCCCTCTCTTGGATATCAGCATGTGAAGGACACTGTTCAGGAACTAGTTGATGCTCTGTATGTGATGACTACTTCCATTCTGGAGAGGATCAGAGATACATGGATCCTGAGATTGAAGCTCAAGCCGGTGACCAGTGATTATTAACATTTTAACTATTCAGAAAAAGTCAGAATTTTGAGAAAAAGTCAGAATTTTGAGAAAAATGTAGAATATTGAGATTTTTTTTACGTTTTACTTACTGTCCTTTTTTAATTTTTTATTCTAACCTTTTATGCTTTTAACCTTTTTTTTATTACCATATTTTATTCAATATGTTCCTTGCTAACATTTTATTGTATTTTCTCCTCGCATTGTGAAGCACCTTGAGATGTTGTTGTTTTTAAAGTGTGCTATATAAATGAAATGTATTCTTATTCTTATTACAATGACAGAAGTAGAAATGGTGGACTAGGGCTGCACGATATTTATTTTGATGGATATTGCAATTGCGATATTATTTACAACATCATAGGGAATGCCAATTATTGTAAGATTGCTGATATTATCATCAAAAAATAAATACAATTTGGCTAGCGCTCAAAGACATGACGTGATAGGCTAAGGGACATCTCTAAGCAGTTGACACATCACAACAGACCTTTTTGAACATTAACACATGAAAGTAATGTCCCAGTTGTGCTCAAAATACAAATATGAACCTGGGTTATTAATTAAGTTATTAAGTCAAACTTCTCTCTCTTTAAATTTAATATTTTCTGGTTTCTTTACTTCTTTATCAGAAGTAAATTACATTTCTTTTACATCTGAGTACATCATGTTAGGCTTTTGGACAAACTGATCAACCTTTTTTCACAATTTTCTGACATTTAAAGACAAAAAAATATACATTTTAACCAAGAAAGTAATCAACGAAATAACTGGCATTGAGAATAATCACAGGTTTGCATCCTCTAAATCAAACCGTTAAAAACAAGTGACCCTTTAACATGAATCTGGTGCACTCCAATAATAAGTGGAATATATATTTGCTTTATTCAGAGACAGACAGAAAAATAGTTTCCGTGTATGTTATGGTTCTTTTGTGAGTAGCCTGAAAATGTTTCAGCTCCCATCTGTTTAGAGTTGCCGTGGGGGGATGGAGTAAAGTTTGTTTTACAAAAGAGTGTCTGCAAATGTGTGTGTATGAGTGTGTGTGTGCACATGTTTTGCATGTGATTTCCATAATGCCCACAGCATTGTGGGACTAATAGTGGTTATATGAATAACAACAGAAGCTGACCCAGTTCTCACACACACACCCACACACACACACACACACACACACACACACACACCACAAAACAACACATATACAGACACACCACAAAACAACACATACACACACACACACACACACACACACCACAAAACAACACACACACACACAGGTGCATTTTTCCCACAGCGCAGTAAATTAGTCCAACAACCATCCAAACGAAAAAGAAAACTCAGAAGACCGCTGAGATTATAAAATGAAGAGTGATTAACAGACTCACGTTCATTAGGTGCACAAAAACACACAACTCATTACAATGAAATACAACTGATGAGGTCATTTCTATTTAATTGGGTAGATAAGAACAAAATCTGCCTTGGATTCAACTTTTTTTTGGAAGTACTATGCTGTGTTGCGTCTGAAAATAGAAAAGAACATCATCAGGAGAGGACTCTTTAAAGTAGAGACACTACATACTGATATACACCTGAACATCAGCAGGAGAGGACTCTTTAAAGTAGAGACACTACATACTGATATACACCTGAACATCAGCAGGAGAGGACTCTTTAAAGTAGAGACACTACATACTGATATACACCTGAACATCAGCAGGAGAGGACTCTTTAAAGTAGAGACACTACATACTGATATACACCTGAACATCAGCAGGAGAGGACTCTTTAAAGTAGAGACACTACATACTGATATACACCTGAACATCAGCAGGAGAGGACTCTTTAAAGTAGAGACACTACATACTGATATGAAACTGACAAAAAGCACATGTGGATTAACTTGACTCCCAAAATATGTAAACAAATGAAAACATAAAAACCGCTAAATGCTAATTTGCATATCTTCCTATGCAAAGTTTAAAAGCACATTATTAAAGATTGTTTGCTTAAATTAAAACAACGTTGACAATAGTGACACCTGACATTTGCAGTTTTAAATAAAATGCCATGGGACTTGACGCTGTTTTGCAAACGTGAAAACTACCCACAGTGCTTTGCTGACATGGTTGAAGAGCCTTGTTTGGAGCAAGGCCCTGCAGAGTGACAACACACAAACATGTTGACAGAAAAAAGATGCTGCCAGGCTACCCAGGGTTGCCATGAAGTAAACACAAACACAGAGAGAGAAGAGAGGGAGTTTCTGACACACAGCAGCATATTTTCATAAAGCTAAAACATATTTATTGAGAAATTGGGAAAATGCAGCAGTCGTCAGCCAATAACAATCCTGCCCTGCTCGTCATCTCTGCACGAAGCGACCTGCTGCTCAGCAACAAGCCACTGTGCTGTCCTCGAATAAACCCCACCGGCAGACAGGCAGATGTGTGTGTGTGTGTGTGTGTGTGTGTGTGTGTGTGTGTGTGTGTGTGTGTGTGTGTGTGTGTCTGCTTTAACTGCTCCCTGAGGACGTGAGCTCTTTTTAAATTTGCAAGATGTCATGTGTGTGTGTGTGTGTGTGTGTGTGTGTGTGTGTGTGTGTGTGTGAGTGTGTGTGTGTGTGTGTGTGTGTGTGTGTGTGTGTGTGTCCTTGCAGCTTGTGGAAAAACAACACATTCAGAAAAGCACGTAATGCTGTTCATGTGTGTGTGGAAAATGTGTTTGTACATTTATGAAGGATTGATGTCAGTGCTTGTTGAACATTGCGTACACATGTATCTATAAATGTGTGTGTGTTATATTTATGAGCCTTATTCTCATTGCAAAATAACAGTTTCTCCAACTAACCCTTAGAGCTCTACTACTGTCCGGAAACAAATAAAACCACATCAGCGAGCCACGCTGTTGCACTGTGACATGTTCCTTCATTACGAACTCACATCCTGTTGTTTATTGTGACGTTGTGCTGCCACAAATACTCAAATTTGGATTAATCCGCTGCTAAAATTAGTCCCGAATCAATGTTCCTATGGTGGATTAAAAACTACACCCACCAGATTTTCTTTTTAGGAATAACCGAGCCTTTAAAATGAGTCTATATATGTGTGTTTGTATAGACTTACGGCTCCAGTAGGTACTGCTTTAAGGTGGCAGGCAGATGCAAACGTGCTACAACGGCACAAAACACTTCCATTAGTAGAAACACGCTGCAGCTTCAGAAACGATGCAAATATAAAAACACAAATGTGCCAAAACACATTCAAATGAAAAAACATATTCAGCAACAAAACGCTGCAAGAAGCTCAACGGAAACCAGGGGACTTTAAAAAGTGACGCACACAGCTGGGACCGGACCGGTTGGTGACGTTCAGGGATTTTGGTACATTTGTGTTTTTTATATTTGCATCTTTTCTTGTGTGAAGTGTTTTCGGCTAATGCGTTTGTACCTGTAGGTCACTGTACTTCTTTTATTAGAGAGACAATACCAAAACACAATGTTAGTTTTGTATTTTTGGGGGGATTTAATGGCCTTCAAAGTAGTGCCATTTGGTTTTAACATATTTTTACATTAGATTTGACCTCGCTGTAATTTGTTATTACCAAATTACATTACATGTCACTTGTTAGATGCTTTTATCCAAAGCGACTTACATACTCAATACTGTGGACAATCCCCACAGGAGCAATTTGGGGTGAAGTGTCTCAGGGACACAACGACATGCTGACTGCAGTGGGGTTTGAACCTGTGCTCCCTTGATCCCAACACCAACGCACAACCCACTGCGCCACACACCTCCTAAAATCTGCTAGAACTTTTAATTTACTTCTTGTTTTGAGTGTTTGCTCTTCCATATTGTGATAAAAACTCTTGTGTTTATTTGATTTCTTGAGTGTTACACTACTTGATACTAAAGAAGTATTATGGAAGTACAGAGACATAAAGAAAGGGCATTAAAGTAAGATAAAGGAAGGGCAAATAAGGATAAGAGTGTGCTAAAACAGACCCTGGACATGTAAAATCACTCATGAGAAAATAGTACGCGCATTAGTTGCACACATTGATCCAATAACCTGCCCTCGTATTTAATATTTAGCTGCGGTACGATTCCTCTTTGAGCCATTAGTCTAACTCGTGATTAGTTCAGCGAGACTCAGTCCTGCAGCTGGAGGAATAAGGGCCTCATTTACGCCCTCGTTAAACCACACCAGCTCCATAAAGACACATCGGATCAGCGCCACCGTCGATGTGCACATTTACAGAGGAGAGATGGTTACTTCAGGTTTCAGCAGGGATCCAATCTGTGACTGCTGAGTGACATTAACTCCACACACTACACTAAAGATACAGATGTGGAAATAAGGGGGGTTGTAAGTAGGGCTGTGCAATTAATCGTATTTTAATCGCAATTACGATTTTGGCCTGCCACAATTACGAAAACAACATAATCGAAAAAAACGATTATTTTGCTTTGCTAGGTTGTGACAGTGCACTGCAACATATTTGATCTAATGTATTTGTATTTATCATATTTATATATGTTTAGTAGCTTGTTGAAGTGCGCTCCAAAATATTTGTTGATCTTGTTTATTGGTATTTATTATTTTGATATTATTTATTTAAATGTATCATTTAATTTATTTATTTTTGTATTGGTTTTTCAGTTGAATTATACGTTCAGGGAAATCAACAGTTAAAAAGATACTGTTCAAATTATTATTTGTATTTAAAAGTTCAATAAATGGATGTTTTCAAAGTCATGAATAATCGTATTTAATAATCGTGATATCAATTATTGACCAAAATAATCGTGATTATGATTTTTGCCATAATCGCACAGCCCTAGTTGTAAGGGTTGCTTCCACCTGCGTGCATGTTAGCTGGCAGCAGTGATCGAACAAATACAACCGTACAAAAGAGCAATAAAGGGTCGGAAGCTATAAAAAAAGTCCTCAAACTGATCCATAAATCTGTGCAGAAATGAAATGTTGTCCTGAAAACACCTCCAACTACACGTTGTAATGGGACCTTTTTTATATCAGAGAGGGTAAGCAATCATCCCCGGGTTATAAATCATTGTTTCACGACAAAAAGACAATTTATGAATTATTCCCAAGAAACTTAAGAGCACCTTTTTGCACGATTAATGATGAAATGAAACCATCCATTATTCTCCTAAGTCATTTGGTAAATGGACTCAATGGGAAATATTTACACAGCCCTTTTTCCTGTCATTACGCCCTGGATATTTTGGATTCAGCCTCTTGCACAAGGACACATGACATGTTGACTACAGGAGCTGGGAACCGAACCAACGACCTTCAAATCGACCGCTCTACCTTCTGAGAACCATATGAGTGTTAGTCGACTACGTTTCTCTGACAGCCCTAGAGAACAGATGTTTGTATGTTTCCGTACCTGGTGGTGTGTAGGCGTCCATGGAGGTCTGGACCACCAGCGACCGCCTCTTGGAAGGCATCGGCACCGCCAACTTCCTCTCTTTGTGTTTGGCGAGGGCCGCCTGCACCGCCTCTGTGTGAACATCTGGAGACACAAGTGTATACTTAATAACAAATCGGAGGTACTTACCTATTTCAGGTTATCCTATTTTATACATACCATACATTGTAATACCTTTGAGTCTATATTTATCTGAGAAAACACAATTCAGACAAATCAAATGGCAGATTAAGAACGCATTATTGCAGATTAAAACTGTGTCTTGTAGACCTTACAAGACATATTTAGATGTCCATAAATCGTTACCCTTTACACTTCTTAGATGGGTTCAAAGCCTGGATTAGAGAAAAAATATATATCTAATAATGTCATGAAGTAACATTTATAAATAAGTCACAGATGACATCTTTCTGTCATCATTACTTCAGTTTCTTTAGCCATTAAAACCTTCGTACTTAAGCAGAATTGAGACATTTGCAGGAATTTTGTTTGAAATGAAGTACTTTCACTTGAGTTAACGATCTGAGTGCTACAAACCAATAACAACGGAAATAAGCCGATTCATTTCAGGCATGGGTATCTTCCAACATATGAGCTTTATTTAGCCAATAAAACATTTATACTTCAGCAGAATTGAGACATTTGCGGGAATTTTGTTTGAAATGAAGTACTTTTACTTGAATAAATGATCTGAGTGCTACTTACTAACCCATAAAAAAAGAAATAAGCCAATTAGTTTCAGTGTAAACAGAGAGAGAGAGTGTTAAATAACAGAGAGTGCTTCCAGTGAAAGTAGAGGAGCAGCAGCGAGACCATCAGCTGTGTTTGTGCTGCAGTGTTCTCCGCACAATGAGCACCGTGTTCCCATTTATCCACGTTCAGTCTGTGGACGCAGAGTCTAAGACGGCGGCTCCCATGAGGCCTGGTGGTTTCTCCAGAATGGATCGAGTTCGGGGAGCGTCGGAGCAGACGTTTCTGTAAATGAGTGTTTCTAAGAGCGAGATAAAACGCCGCCGTGTAGCCACAGCTGGTTTCGTTTGAACAGTGTCCATCGCTGTCAGACAGCACACACACACACACACACACACACACACACACACACACACACACACACACACACACACACACACACACACACACACACACACACACACACACACACACACACACACACACACACACACACACACACACACACACACCACACACACACACACACACACACACACACACACACACACACACACACACACACACACACACACACACACACACGTCGATAATGACATCAGTCAGACATGTGTCGGATGAATGGAGCTCACACATGTACGTTTGTTTAACTTGTGCGCAGGGAACGGAGGTGATTTAAATCTCAAGTGCACGTTTATTGTCTTGTGGTTGACCGAGTGTGACGGAAAAGGGTGTAAAAGTAAGTGTGTGTGACGTTTAAAAGGTGCTCACACAGCTTTTCTTTTTCAACTTAATGGGTTGAAAGCTTTTTTTTATGGATTTAAATCCTGTCCAAACAAACTCTCAGGTCCAATCAGGTGTTCCCGCTGACCAGGAACTCCTGTCTGTTTCCTTGTTAGAGAACTGCCTATCTTTGCTTCTAAACCCCCGAACGTCACCACTGCAAACTCCTACAGATGAGATGCCACTGAAGAGAAGTTTAAATCCTCAGTTAATCCTATATTAATCTTTACAGGACACCAGATGGAACAAAAGCAAACAATGTATGTTGAAAGACAGATTTGTCGAAAAGCTTTTTCCACAGATTTCTGCCGAACTCTGGATTTCTTCTGCAGATAATGTCACAGTGTGATGATCAGGATGAATGAGTGGATCGAGGTAAAGTGTAGATGTGTTCCCAGGTCTATAGTCTCCAAACAAACCTGGGGAAAACCTCTCTGAACCAATGCACAATTGGACTATAGCTAGATAAATATAAGACAGATGTAACATGGGGATCTTCCAACATGTGAGCTCAGAGAAAAAAAGGAACTACATTTGAAAAACCTGTAATTTATATATCTTTATCAGATAACGTCAAGATATTTAAAAGGGGACCTATCATGCAAAATGCACTTTTGTACGTCTTTTATACATGAATATGTGTCCCCGGTGTTCCAGGGAACTCACCAAGTGTCAGAAAACACAACCCTCTCTATTTTCCTCCATACCCAAATCTCTAAAAAAGGGGCTGCAACGGATCTGATAAAAACTGATCCAGATTTGAACACTGTCCTGACATCAGGACGGTGGCGCTACGGCTATTGGGCCAACTCCACCAATCAGGAGGAGACAGCCACGGCCATTGCTGTTCGAAAGCGCTGGAGACGCTGTAGTACATATGCCAGGCCTGTAGATGGTGCTGTTCTCACTGAATCTGCCCCTTCAAAAACAGATCTAGAAATTGTCAAATTGAGCAAAATGAGGCATGGCTAAAATGCATGATCTGTTTGGTATTTTGAAGAAAAAAAAAGTATAAATATGCCTTATATAGGTATGGTCCTATACTATATTATTCAAATATAGCATGATAGGTCCACTTTAAGATACTTTATATTGGCCTCAACATCCAAGTATCAGCCGGGTTATATCCCTATAGTGTCATTTTCTCATAGACTTCTATACAAACTATATTTGTCGTAACCATTGGAGTCGATCAGAAAGAAATAAGTTTAAGAAAATCAGGTTTCCTTATCGATATGCAGCCAAGACCTCCAAATGATAATGACATCCTTACCTGTATTGGGAAGAACTAACATTTGTTTTACCACTTATTGCTTAAGTTATCATATATAATCCATAATGCTACTGAGGGGATTAACGAGCCTCGTTGACTGTTTGCTGTGTACATTTAGAGTTGACTGAGATACAAACAATGGCCATTCAGACCTTTAAAGTGTTGTAAATGCTGGCTATGTTAACTTGGAATTGTGTTCCCTCTATTTTGATTTCTTCTACTCCTCATTGAAAATATCCTTTTACATACATAACTGTATTGGGTAATGAGTGTCACACACAGAGGTGGGAAGTAGTGGAGCACAAATACTTCGTTACTGTACTTAAGTACATGTTTCTGGTATCAGTACTTTACTCCACTACTTATTTTTCTGACGACTTTTTACTTTCTACTTCTTACATTTTGAACACAAATACCTGTACTTTCTACTTCTTACATTTTGAACACAGATACCTGTACTTTCTACATGTTGAACACAAATACCTGTACTTTCTACTTCTTACATGTTGAACCCAAATACCTGTACTTTCTACTTCTTACATGTTGAACACAAATACCTGTACTTTCTACTTCTTACATTTTGAACACAAATACCTGTACTTTCTACTTCTTACATGTTGAACCCAAATACCTGTACTTTCTACTTCTTACATGTTGAACACAAATACCTGAACTTTCTACTTCTTACATTTTGAACACAAATACCTGTACTTTCTACTTCTTACATGTTGAACTCAAATACCTGAACTTTCTACTTCTTACATGTTGAACACAAATACCTGTACTTTCTACTTCTTACATTTTGAACACAAATACCTGTACTTTCTACTTCTTACATGTTGAACTCAAATACCTGTACTTTCCACTTCTTACATGTTGAACTCAAATACCTGTACTTTCTACTTCTTACATGTTGAACCCAAATACCTGTACTTTCTACTTCTTACATGTTGAACCCAAATACCTGAACTTTCTACTTCTTACATGTTGAACACAAATACCTGTACTTTCTACTTCTTACATGTTGAACACAAATACCTGTACTTTCTACTTCTTACATGTTGAACACAAATACCTGAACTTTCTACTTCTTACATGTTGAACACAAATACCTGTACTTTCTACTTCTTACATGTTGAACCCAAATACCTGTACTTTCTACTTCTACATTTCCCAAACAGGCTGGTTCCTTTAGTTTGAATGTGTGTTTGGTGGCGTGATCATTATTATTTAGAGTCATTGCGTGCCTATTGATTTGAACACGATCCGTGTATCCATCATTTCCTGGTCTTCTCTAAAGAAGAGGGACCAATGAAAACGTTGTCATGTTGCCGTTGTTCAGCATGGAAACATTCATTAGCTAACAATGACATTATTGTTCTATTAATATAAAGGGAGGTCAGGTACTCTTTAAAACAGCTGCTAGTTATGGGTACTTTTTACTGAAGTACATTTCAAAGCCCTCTTTACTTTTACTTGAGTAAAGAAGTTTAGTCAGTACTTCTACTTTTACCAGAGTACTTTTAAACACGAGTATCTGTACTTCTACTCGAGTAAAGGATGTGTGTACTTTTGCCCTCTCAGGTCACATTACACATGCTAATCGGGTCAGCCATAATAAAGAGACAAATGGTCCCACTAATGGAGGGTCAAGGTGAATCTGTTCCTCACCTGATCGGTACCGCTCGTCTCTGGATCCAGAGGAGCGCCGGCGGTGGTACCGTGAGGACGAGGAGGGGGTGACCGGACCTCTCCTCTCCTGGCCCAGCGGGGGGTCCATTCCTGAGACAAAGAGGGGCAGATTTAACACATCATCTTCATTTAAGGTGAGATAAGATAACATACACCTTTAGAAACATTCAGGAATACGATGGGAACACAGGAGAGAACCTAAGTTCAAGTGCGAGTCCAAAGTAGGTATACAGTACATCTCCAAATCGAAAATCTATTCAAACTGAAAAACAACTTTTTTGTATATTTCTTGTGTTTTTTCTGTATATTTCTGTACCGTTGCTTTTTCACATGTATTTGTAAATAAATCCTTGATCCATGACAGAAGTCTCTCCCAGTGAGAAAGCTACATTTGGAGGATACACCTGCAGCTGTTCTAGAAACAACAGGAGGTTAGTTATTGCAGTTTGGCTTCTGATTTAGACGTTTTACCTCCGCTGCAGCCGAGGCTGTGACTCAGAGCTCAGGGACGTTATCAAGAAGCTTTCAAAACCCTTCAGGCCTGATAGAAACAATTTCCTGCTAAATGTGTAGTCCTCAGTTTCTGAACACACAGAGGTGATACACACAAACACCATTACTAAAGAAGACTACTTATAATCTGCAGAACTTGCATTAGAATCGACACGTTTTTAAGTTTTCTTCAGGATGAAATGATGCAGTGATAGTAGTTTGTACATCTATGGAAACACTGCACACAGGAACTGATCATTGATCATTAGCCCCAAACACATGTATTGGAGGATGTTGGAAGCAGTTTTAAAGCCCTTGATCTTAAAATTAAAAAAGCATGACTCAGCAGAAATCACACAGACATATGAACACATCTGTTTCAGCAAATTCATTTTATATTGAAATCAATTGGGATTATTTGACCACAATGCATTGAACATGGTACTTAAGACAGCTATGAAAGGGTTTCCAATATGAGTTTTACAGATTAGTGTAGACTGTTTAAATAAAACCTATTCAATAAACTGAAGAGCACTGAACTCTAAACATCTTCAGATGAACACAATCAATAACAAAAAAAAAACATATATCCATAAATAACTATAAATATCTTGAATAACACAGAGAATCATGACTCAAACCTGCCATGACACACACACACACACACACACACACACACACACACACACACACACACACACACACACACACACACACACACACACACACACACACACACACACACACACACACACACACACACACACACACACACACACACACACACACACACACACACACACACACACACACACACACACACACACACACACACACACTACACACACACACACACCACACACACACACACACACACACACACACACACACACACACACACACACACACACACACACACACACACACACACACACACACACACACACACACACACACACACACACAACACCACACACACGTTCCAATGCATACACACAAAACTACATTTTTGTCGACCCCTTTACACACACACACCTAATAACACAATACTCCCTTGTTCCCTATACATGCACAGACACACACATACAGTACACACGCATACAGTACACACACACACACACGATCGATACGTCTGATGATGATAACCTCCCTGTTACTGACAGCTACGCAGCGGCTGATCTATGGGCCTCCATCTCCCCCCCCCCTTCATCTGTCTTCATTACGGCTCTCAGAGAAGCTAGAAGTTGATTATTCGAGCGTACAAAGAGCGGCAGTTAACGGCAGGTCTGGGAAATTCCTCGCTCAGATGTTTCCTCCGGGGAGTCTGGGTGGAGGGATGGATTCCCCAACACCAGAACCACCACTCTACTTCCTCTTTAGAAATATCTTCGTCTCAATCCTTTATTCTTACTCTTATTTAACCTGCAGACACTTCATTGTGTACGTATTTATTCACCAGTCAAAAATCTGTTAAAGAGTCTATTAATCAACTTTTACATGTTTAGGGATAATAAAGTCCATTTGTCGGTCTACCACTTTAGTCCTGATTGGATTATCTCCACTACTACACGTCCCCTGTTTCCCTACAAGTTCCCTGTTACAGTCCTTTTGTACTTTCTTAAACCTTTCCTTAGAATATTTTATGAATTGTTAGGTGTCCTTGGGTGCTAGGTAGATGGCTGTGAAATTTGGTGCAGATCAGGGACGCGGGAAGTCAGTCAGAGTTGGGGGTGTGGCGTGCGGCGTGCGGCGAAACTGTGGCGCGCTACACTGTAGGTGCGCCGCGTTTGCGCTTCAGAGGAGGCTCCCTCCACAAAATGAGGCCCCACCCGCGAGGGGTCTGCGTGATCTGCGTGTAGGGAGGGGCGGCCCTGTATAATAACGTCATATCAAATGCAGTCATTTGGTCTTTAGCAACAGCTTGTGAGAGCAGCGCATTCATCGGTGTTCGTTTTAATGCTGCCAGTTTGTTGACGGCCTGTGTGTTGACGGGACTTCTCATGCTCCCTAAATGTTTCCCCTGCATTTCACTAGTTGTTAAACCCTGCTTTCACTAAACTCCCATCCCTGATCTTGTCTGCACTGACGAGCTTCTTTTCTATAGCAGAGCAACAGAAGAAGCACACCGCATTATCACTTTCTCTTATATAGTGAAGCTTTTTATAAACTGCTTACACTAAAATGCTAACTCAAAAATAGTAACTCAAAATAAAAATGTTGTATTGATTTGTTTAGTGAACTTGTTGGCGTTGCAGTTACAACTCTCCGCCAAGAGATGGGGGTGCTGCAGCCCCCTCAGCCCCCACCCCTTCCCGCGTCCCTGGTGCCGATATCAATAATGCCCAGAAGACAAATCTGACAAGTTCTTCTAAAGTTTCACCAGAAGGCCAAAGTTTTTACTTTTCCTTTGAAACATGTCCGCATCGACACGATGGATTGGCACAACATTTGGTACAGAGATTCACGGTTCCAAGAAGATTAATCCTAATAAATGTGGTGATCTTCTGACATTTGATGAGGCTGCATCATCAGTTCAAAATGTCAATCCGTCCAAAACATTGTTAATTAATGTACAATGTGCACATTTTTACTTCTTATGTTAATGTAATATTAAATCACATTTAATTTCATCTTTATTCCACATTTTCACCTATTTTTTTATTATCTTTGTATGTTTATAAAAATAATGTATTCAATGTATTTGTATCTTTATTGCACACTTTCATTACATAATTTTAACTTGACTTCTCATTTTTAAATAAATATTTGTAATTGTATTTATTTATTATTAACAACCTAATTTCCCTAACCTTAATTAAATTATTCATATGTGTTATTCTGATTGTGATGAACCCTTCATACGAACACACTTGACTCATACTTGCAGGTATTTTGTATTCTTTGTCCCACAGATGAGGTTTTTACCACTAAAACTGATGTAGGAAGCTGATGTTCAATTAATAAATCATCCACTTAATGACATGTTAATTTTCCAGTTTTTCTCCATCTGTCTGACACTCCTTACAACAAACACTTTAAACAGGATTTCAACCAGTCGCACACACACACTGAAACCTTAAAGGAAATCAATGCAGGACTCATTTATTCTACTGCAGGTAGAAAGAAACTAAATCCAATAAAGACCTGAGACAGATGAAGTATAACACACTAAAACCAAAAGTGTCTTAACAACCCTAAAGGGTAACACAAAACACACAGTATCCAGATATTTCACGAAAACATGTTTTACTTTGGCCTGATTTTACACACATAATTAAAAAAACGTACCACCATGGAAAGAAATATATTTAAAAAAAACCTCCATACAAAATAATATATACAACAAAATAATATGTATTCAAAAGAGAAAAGAAAATGACATTAAAACATAGTGTAAATATGAAATAAAATATATATATACAGCACAGTATATTCAATTGTATATTCAGCTCTTCATAAAAGTTAAATATTTACAAAAAAGTAATAAAATATTTCATTTTTTAGGCGGTAGAAATACAGAATAATCAGATTTGAGATCTACATAATTAGAGAAATTCCACAAAATGTAAATGTTTTTCAAATTACTTAATGATTATAATGGGATGGGTTTAATCCTGTATTGTTGTTTTAAATTTGACAGATTGTGCATTGTTCATTTCTAGTGAGGTGCTTTCAGTCGGACAAATTGCTCGTTATTACTGGCATTATCTGATGCAAGCTGCAGCAACATTTTTGGGATGGCATGCAGAACATGTCACACAGAAACCAGCTGCAGTGTGTTGTCTTTCTGTCAGATAAGAATGTTAAATGACAGACTTGCTGCCAGCTGCAGAAGTGTCACTGATTCTGAAAACAATGAACACTGCCAATAAAAAGTTGGAGCAACGCCAAATATGTAATTTCAATACCTACTAATGTGACCCAGGTCAGGTGAACGAGTTCACATTTTAAATGTTAAAAATATATGGAGGAACCATTTCTTCGATATTGAATATTCAAATCATATTTACCTGGGTTTAAATGTAGCTTTTAACTCCAATAAAAATATAATAAGTACATCTAACTGGTTTTAAAAAGGAAATAACTAGAAAAGTATTCACGTATGAAGGACCAACAAAAAGTAACACTACTATGTCCATTTTCTGGAGGTAACAAACCGTTTGAAGAGGTTTGAACTTCAGTTATTTCAAAATAGAAACCTTTACCGTTTACTTCCACTTCTTTGAGGTTATAAGAAATTGTTAAAATGCAGAAAAAACGTTTTTATAAACCAAAAACAGAACAAAAAGTACAGCAAGTTCACAATATATACATTATGTATCTCCCAAATAACCAAAGTGATTGGATCTCAATGAACAGTTCGTGTTAAGCACTTTTACTTATTTTAAGACGTACCCTTCCTAAAGTATTCCAGCATCGTACAGCTGTCAAAAATCCCTGTTTCATTAACGGCAGATCTTCTCTTTTGAATACCTCCCTTCTACCTGATCCGACACACCTCGGCAGACGCTCCGTCTGAAAGCCAGAGTCCGGCGTAGAGCGGCTGAGTGAATTTAGTCTGGACTCTATGGAGGAGGGTCCTGGTTTCAGAGACGCTG